CATTTTAAAATTTTTAAAAATTAAAATCAGCTCAATATTATTTTTACTAAGTAATTTTATTATGTTTATTATCCCCGTATTTTACTATTAAAATGTATGTTGATCCTTTCCATTTATCATGAATTGCGAATTAAAGATGTAAAATTCAAACAAATAAAGATAACTTTTTTATAATTATAATTTTATAACAATAAAATTATCAGTTCATTAACAGTGTTAAATAAATATTAAACGTTTGTAAAATTGTGATAATTATTTGAACGTTTACAAAGAGCCTTGGTCTGATCTTCTTTGAATAAGCGTCAGCAAAGAGCTTCTTTTACATTTTTGTGGGCTTTCCAATCTGGAAGCATAGCACTGAGTTCACTAGCATAGTCATGTAATTGATGGGTTAGATTTGGTGGACAAGTTATATTTTTCTAGGAACAGGTTCAAAATCAAGGTAAAGTTATTAGTTCTGGGGTTTCTGGTTTTTCAGGTAATTGCCATGGCTGTATTGATAATACATATATTGATAAGTAGATTGTGATTATCTATTAACCTACTTATTCTTTCAAATCAAAAATTAATTATCCAAATGAGTATATCTGGAATATATATGTAGATTCATACTTTTAGCAATAAAATTTATTACTTTTGATTATATTATTTTAATTTTAGCATCTGTAATTAAAACTAAATATTTTTCTGAAAAATTTCAATAAAAAAAAAATGAAGCAAAATATTTTTTTCTAAATCAACAATTTTTAAATTTACTCCCATAATAGTCAAAGATTGAACACATGCCAACATTCAATAATAGCCAATTCCCCTTTTCTAGGGACACTGATGTCATAAACCTGGCCAACATCCGGAATTCCAGGGGCATGTCTAGACCAATTGTTGATGTCGAGCACTCCAATTGTGTCAGCTAATGCTTGAGTTGCTGGGAGTGCTGGAGTATTTACGAAGGAAAACGAACATTCCAATGGAATGCCTATTGGAGGGAATTGTAAATAACCTGGTTGTCCTTGAATCACTAATCAAAAAAAAATTTTAGAAAGAATCTTCAAAAAATAATCAATAATGTAATATTTATGGTTATATATA